ATTTAATAAGAATATTTCATTCATTCAGATCTAGGATGTCTTATGTTGTGTTCCCTTTATTTTTTTGAGCAGTATAGATTGAGTAGTCTAAAGTAGTAGCTCTAAACTGTTGTTAAACTGTATTTTCAGTGCCTGTTGAATCTAAGATCAGCTAAGCTAAAGCAGCAAGTTTAAAATAGTATCTTGACATAGTTAAATTTGTTGTCATTTAAATTTTCTGCATTTATACTTTCCTCCCATTCAGTTGATCACAGTTAAACAAAGTCAGACAAAACGATTAATACAGATTCACTCTACTTGTATTATTTATTCAGTAGTATCATAAAAGCCTTATTGTATACCATATAAGAAAAAAAATATATAAACTGAATCAAACATATGATCTGTGTGTTAGCCCGGTGAGAGACGGGGTACACCCTGGATACACCCTATCCAGGGTACACCCTGCCTCTCTCCCGCAGCTGGCTGCGATTGGATCCAGGCCCCCGTAACCCCGTTTGGGACTAAGAAAATGGATGGATGGATCTATGTAGTGAACCCACTGCCACCAGAGGGAACACCACTCTCATCGCCACATCTACAGTGTGAAATGTGTTTTGACTCAGAGTAGGAAGACGAAGTGTTGTGCTAACGTGTCCTTAACATAGTGTGTTGTTTGTAGTGTCAGTTATATTATTAAAGTCATTAAATAAAAATATAATACATTGTCAAATTAATCACATACTGTAAAACGTTGGCAGATTCTAAAAGCTTTGATATAAACAAAAGAAAAGACCTCCACCTTCCTTTCAGCGGTTTGACTTATGAGTACCAGCTTCAGCTGTGATGTGCTTTTTTTCTGCCCCCCAGGCCTTCCTGCCTCTGTTAAAGCAAGCTGCATCCAGAGGAGGAGCAGATGGCTCAAGAAGCATGGGCATCCACAGGGCAGCAGTTATTAACGTGTCCTCTATGCTGGGCTCTATGGAGCTCAATGGGAGGGAGATGGCAACCAAATGGTCTGAAGGGTACCCTTACAGGACATCCAAGGTATTGTTACCATGGGAAGAGACATCAGCTCGAAGTGTTAAACCAATTAATAACTGTATTCTTTGGGACATGTAAGTCAGATTAACTGTGATACATAAAGGGAGTCCAGGCTGTGTGAGACAGTTGGGTATTGTGTTTGTGACTTGGTAAATGACAGAAAAGTCATAAGCTCTTTCTTTGCAACAGTGGATTTTAGGAAAAGCAAGAGGAACAGTACTGGCTACACCATCAAGCATTTCTGCTGATCAGCTGCTGGGGTGGTTGGCTTGTCGGGTTTTGAATTATGATGCATGCTGAGTTATGTCTGCTTGCCTTCTCAGGGTGCCCTGAACATGGTGAGTCGCTGTATGGCTCTAGACCTGGAACCTTATGGGATTCTCTGTATGGCTATACACCCCGGTTGGGTCCGCACTGACATGGGGGGGCCTGAGGTAAATTCCTAGTCAGACAAACTCTGTCACAGTCATATATAAAGGGCGCAAGATGGGATTAAAGCGTACCACAACATATCTTTTTAACATTGTCTGGATTGATATATATATACAGATCACTGTCACTCATTTCTGATTGTGTCTGGGTTTTCCCGTCTCTTTCCAGGCTCCACTGAATCTAGAGGAGAGCATTCCCTCCACCTTGTCTGTGATTGGTGGACTAACTGAAAAGGATCATGGGTCATTTCTGAATTTTGCAGGAGAATTGATGCCCTGGTGAACCCAGTCATCACAGGAATGAGCAAGCCAACTTCTCCCAGTTGCGGTTTCCTCTGTCCTCATCAACTTCAACTATGTAAAGATGGATGTGTCAGTGGCTGAGTGCACACCACTGAAGAAACCTTATTTTACTGTTATCATTACAAAGGTATGAAAATGCTTTTGTGACCCACTGGGCTGCATGAAAACAAGAGAATTGTCAAAATAAATTCCCCATAAACTGCAGTTCATTGGTATGTTTGTGTGCATTATTGAGGGGCTGTAATATGTTTGAAAAAGGTTCCTCTCAGAAGTTTCAAAGAAAGAACAAAATCAGGACATGGTGTCGTGGATATGCTGCATTGACCTACAGCTAAGTTACAGCTCCTATCCCTTGTGAGGATTTGAATTCTGGGTTAAAACATCCAAACAACTAGTAGGTGATGAGGCCGCATAATAATGACAACAATGAAAACTGTGATGGCAAATGTCGTTTAAAATCATACGATGATTGTGTCTGTGTGGCACTTCAGCTGTTATAAGTTGGTGGAGAGGTGTGTGTGTCATTGCTGTCAGTTTACAGCACCTGTAGCTACAACTGCTTTGCTTAAAGTTATATGATAAAGTAGAGCTGCTATTGAACATAGCAGGGCCAAAGTTGATTGTGCCAGTTAGAAAATGAACAGAGTTTCTTGGGTAAAGTACTAGCTTAAAGTGCAACGTACACTCAGCAGCCATTTTATTAGGTACACCTGTACAACTGTATGCACTTCTATGCAGCTTTTCTGCCTTAACATCTTATTTATGAAGCTCAAAATGTTTCAGTTTTTGGTGAAATT